CATAGCATGGATTTAGAAACACCGTTACTAAGGGGTAACCAAAACTGTCACTTAGACAGGCCTGGGAACCCTTCGTGACTGTGGCACACCCAGGGAGTGGTAATTAACTCAGCGGAAGGCTGCGTGCACAGAGTGCATGTGGATTGAAATTCGTATCTCATAGAAAAACCCTCTATAAGAGGGGAGAATCGCCAACTCAACCGTAACAGTCACAGACAGACTCTGGAGCATCAACTCATGCATAGCTAGAAGGGGCGTAGCACCCAGCTCTCAGACCGAGAGGGGGACACCAGTGCCCGACTGGGAAGCAGCATGCTCGTAAATAACCCTCCAGGGTGAGGGGAGCACTGCTGAGCTCACCAAGAGAGTAGCCTAAGAGGAAAGCAGAGTCCTGATGTGCTACCCAGTGAAGCCACAGAGTGAAGGATTCGACTCTCAAATGAGAGGGACTCAGATGCTCAGAAGTGAGTGGTGTGCTTGCAAGAGACCCCCCAAGGTGAGGGGAGCACAGCTATCTCACTCAACAAGCAACCCGCCAGGGAGGCAGAAGATGGCCCAGCAACCTGTCATGACTGTTAATCGAAGCTCAAAGGAGCGGAGGCCCAACTCTAAAATAGGAGGGGGACTCAGATGCTCAATCTGGGAGCAGCGTGCTCATAGGTGACCCTCTAAAGTGAGGGGAGCACTGCTAAACTCACCAACAAAGAGAGCAGCCTAACAGGGAGGCAGAGAGAGGCCTAACAACCTGAGGTTGCTACTCAGTGGAACTCCAAGGATCGGAGGACCCGGTGAGAGGAGACCTCAGACGCTCAATTATGAGCGGCATGCTCAAAGGTAACCCTCCAGGGTGAGGGGAGCACTGCTAGGCTCGACCAAATAGGGGCAACCAATCAGGGAGGCAGCAAGCAGCCAAACTACCTGATGTCGCTGTCACAGAGCTCAGAGCGAAGGGCTCGACCCTTAGCTAAGGGAGAGGAACCCAGCTCAACTGAAGCGATCAATAGCCCACGGGCAAAGTACCTAGCTCTCGGGTAGAGAGAAGGACTCCTATAATCTGCCCAGGACCAGCAAGCTCATAAAAGACCCTCCCGCAGTGAGGGGAGCACGGCCATGTCCGGGGAGCAGATTGACCGCAAATGGTACATCAGAAATGGGATCCAGCTTAAAAGGGGATCGCACATTTCAACAGGGAACAACAGGGTCCCAGCATAGAGGCAACTGACCAAGGAGGCGACAGGGACGGGCCTAACAACTCGGTATTGTTGCATATGGAGTTCTCGGGAGCAGCGCTCTTCGGCTCTACTGCTCCTCAGAGCCGAAGCACTCAGGAAGGGTTTCTGCAGAAACACATCTCACTCTTACCTCAGGGAACGCAGTGTACTCAAGCCCACTCCGCAGAGGGGCGATTCAATGGTTCGACCTTAAGGACAGTGTGACAGGGAGGTCCCGTGGGCCTGACTGACTATCGAACTGCAGAGTGGAACTAAGGAGTGTTAGGCCACTCAACACCTTAGCGAGAGGAGCTCTAGCTCAGAGAATGTGCATGATGGTTGTGAGGATGACTCAAATCTCAGGAGACCCCTCAGGGTGAGACATGAGCAGGGCATCCTGGCCGGGGCAGCTTCTCACATCACGAAGCATTATACTCCAAAAAAATGCTCAACCCGAATGGAGGAACCGAGGGTCCTGAGGTTGCAGCATTATACTGCGGACCTGATCAGCTAAAAAGGCTCTCGCAGAGGCCCAGCGACTTGGCTGTATGGTCCATTAAGCATGAAGCCGAAGATGCAGGGCTATCATCCAGCCTGGATCCAGTACCTAAGGGTGAGCTACCATCACCACGATTGGTCAACAGCGAGAGGTTCTGGACTTTAGCAGGGGAGGTGCTCGCAGAGGTCCTAACCCACGGCTCCCGCGCATGACTCAAGTCCACGGGTATCATCTGAAGGCGAAGCCCGAAGAGCACTTGGGTGCGGACCATAAGTAGGTAGTTCTATGGGACATAGAAACTAACCAAAACATCATAGGTCCAGCAGGAGAGACTGTAATGCAAGCGCAGGAGGCTCCTACTTAACCTCGGTCAGGTGGAGGGGATGGTGGCTTCAGGGAAATTAAGGGAAGGAAGATGAGAGCAGATGTGAAAACTCTTGGAGGGAGGTGAGACGTTGTTCAGGTTTTACTGTGGTCCAGACGAGAGCGCTGAGAACGCCTCGTCTGGATCACCTCTCAAATCTTGCCTGTTAATCTTTGACTCACGCCTCCCTTGAGCCCTATCTGAAGGCGGGGGAGGGGAGCGAGTCGCGAGACTAGTTTTCTGTGCCCGCCTCTGACTATTAGATCGAGACGGGCCAGGACCCCTCTGGGCTAAGACCTGGACCTTCGTGGAATGAAGGATTTAAAGGCAGCCGAGCGTGTCTTGGCCTCCTTAAACTTCTCGACCACCGTCTCGACAGAAGTGCCGAAAAGCTCAGAAGGGGAAACTGGTGCATCAAGGACAAAGCCCTTCTCTTTCGTCCCGATATCAGGCAGGTTCACACTAGGGCTGTGCGATTAATCGAAATTGTCATAAAAATCGCGATTTGAGCTTGCGCGATTTCTAAATCGCTTTATAGCACGATTTTCCGCGCCCCAGAGTGTTCACACTGCACGCGATTGTGGTCCGGCAGTGCGCTCCAGGAGCGGTGCGTCTGCAGCAGTCATGCTGCGATCGTTTCCGCACGGAGTCTATTTCTGCTGTGCTGCACGCGCTGAATTAAAGTGACAGCGCATTATTCGCGGTAAAAATTAACATGGATTGACACGGAAATTTAGTAATTACACCATAAATGCATATAATTAATGTCTACTGTTTCACAGTCAACACATGGCTTTTTGGCTAGATTTAAAACAAGGAAAAGTGCACTTTTAGATAAACAAGGCAATAATAGATGGCACTCGTGGTGGTAGTTAAACAAAGTTATATTTATTGAGTTTAAACGTGAATATGTCTATGAAAGATTGTATAACTGTACTGTGATAAAAGAGAATCACAATGCTGAAAATGCATTTTCAGAAACAATGTTTGGATTTGAAATCAAAATAATGGATAAATGTTGTGTTTGTGGTAAACAGCAGCAGATCAGGAGCGGACAGCAAGGATCAGGAGCGGACACAGTCCTGTGTGAAAGCAAAATGAGTCCGTGCTGCTTCTGCACCCCATACACATAGGCTGTATACGCACTGCAGACGGAGTACGTGTGAACTTGGCGCAACAATTGATCAAAGAGATTGCGATAGGTTTTTTTTGTCCATATATCGCACAGCCCAAGTTCACACACAAATTTCACACACAAATGCCTCTCCGTAACCACCATGCCCGCCATAGATCTGCCAATGGCAGTAGCGGTCTGCTTAGTGGCACGGAGAGCGAGATCTGTGGTGCGATGCAACTCAGCCATCTCATCAGGGGATAAACCCTGGCCTTTATCCAGGTCTTTCAACAGGTCAGTCTGATAAGCCTGAAGCACCGCCATAGTGTGCAACGAAGCTGCAGCCTGACCTCCTGCTGCGTATGCCCTGCCATTCAAATGAGATGTAATCTGAAGGGGTTTGGATGGCAGGGAGGGAGCCTTAAGAGAAGATGCCTCACCCCCAGAGAGATAGCTAGCTAGCGTCTCTTCAATAGGGGGCATTTTCTCATAACCGTTCTCACGCATCCCCGCAATATTGACAAAACTAGTATGCTGAAACCTTATGGATGCGGGATGAAAACAGAGTTTTCCAAGCCTTCTCGATCTCCACATGGAGATCAGGAAGAAATGGAAGGCTCACTTGAGCTGGAGGATTATGATCAGAAAGATAACGCTCATCGAGACGGCCACGAGGCGCCACTTTCTTAACCCGCTTCCACGGCAAGTCAAGCCTCGCTGTGGCGCGTTCCATAACCTCAAGCAACTCAGAGTACGCAGGGCAGGAGGAATGAGAGGATTCAGTCTCAACTTCTTCGTCCTCATCTGCCATCTCCTGCTCTTTCTGGCTTGGAGCCAGCAGAGCACTAGCTGCTGGATCAGACGATGTAAGAGAAATAGCATCGTCATCCAGCAGCTCACTCTCGTCCACAACTGACAAGTGCGAAAGGGAAAGACCCTCTCTCAACTCATCAGCCAGGTCCACCTGCAATCCCCACAAGCTCATTTTCCTCCGTGCCTCAGCAGCGGCGGGTCCTGAACCGCGGGGAAACCTCTTTCCTCGAAAAGAGGGACAAACGAGAGCGGAGCTTTTTCATTGAAAAAAGCTCACAATGCACACAGACTGCCCCCTCGAGGACATTGAGCGCGTGCTCTTCACCCAAACAAAGGACGCAAAGATCGTGTGTATCATCAAGTGTCAAATAACGTGGACACGGATCCACACACTTCTTAAACGCCTTACTAGTGCTCGCCATGGTTTTAAAGAGGAAAGATATGTTCTCACCGGAATGCACGCTTCAAACAAAACAGTCGTGAAGACAAAGAAGAGGATGACGTGTTCTCTCGGTGTCTTTTATACTGTGTCGCGCCGGGTAATGACGTCATAGGCTGTCGCCGGTCACGCTGAAGGCGTTCCCCCATAGCAACCCCTAGAGGATACAGTTCAAAGTTCCCTCGGAAGGGAACCCATGTTTCTATAGAGAGAACTTAAATATATTTGATCAACTACACAATAATCTAACATAAATGTTATTGAAAACAAAAGTACCCAGTTCATTAGGGGTGTAACGGTTCAGATTGGTCGCAGTTCGGTACGGTATGTGCTATGTTCAGGGAAAAAAGGAATATGATAAAAAAATAAATAAAGTAAATAATAACAAATAATCAAACTAAATGCAACAGCATAAATGAATACAGTAGAGCGAAAATACTAATAAAATAAACAGTGTTTTTCAGGTGTTTAACAGTAATTTTCAGGTCCAGAAATTTAAAAGTAAAGAGATGTAAAATAACAGAGCATATTTCACTGTATAAATTAAAGACCAAACCTTGTTAAAGTTACAAAGCGATTCAATTGAGAGAAGTGAGTGATTTTCTTGTCTTTTGTTGTTTAACATTCAAAACACAGACAGCAGGAATAGACTTCTGTTCCTTTAAGACATAATTAGCAGATCCAGTACACTGATACTGATACACATGTTGTCTTTCTCGACTGTTAACGTTCACTTAAAACATGACCAACGATGTTTGCAAGGATACTCACAAACACAAGTGTTGAAATGGAAATCAATATTTTTGCGGCATGTGCTGTCTGACGAGGCTCTCCGTGTGTGCACGTGCTACAGATGCGTGCGCGCACACACACTCACTCACACACACACACACACACACGCGCACACACCTTCATACAGCGCGCGCAAGTTCTCAAGCACCTCTTCTTTGTTTGAATGTTTTAATTGACAAGGCTTAAAAACACGCGCAAATGAGTTTAGTTTAAACACAGATAATGTGTGCTGTTCATGTCTCACCTGCACTCGTGCACTTTCAACACCCGGGTGACGAATGCATAAATGACTGGTATACTAGTGTGCATACGGCATTCCGTGTTGTTTGTCCAAGTTTTTTGATCATTGCTGGTGTAATGTGGGAAGCCAATAGGTCTGTTTTATGTGTTATTTTCAACAAACCATATTCTACAAAGAGTACAGCGATACGTATCGTGGTTGGTGCATCGCGGTTTTTCAGTTCGGTTCGAATATCGTTACACCCCTACAGTTCATAGAAAGTGTCCCTTATTATTTGATGCTTCAGCTAGATTATTCAACAGCTCTGAAGATTTTTTCTGTTACAACAAATCTAAATCTGCTTGAAACTTTATAACCTTCAGCATTATTAATGAAGAATAAACACCAACCTCTTTGTTCTTCAGTATCTTCAGTGTGTTTCATTTTGCAGGGTTTGTGGGAGGAGCTTCACTAAACATGAATTTCTCTGTACAAAAGCAGATTTGGGAACATCAACAATAAATCAGTTACTGAGTTTTTTTTTTTTTTAACTAATTTACACCTTTAAGTAATAATGTACGTGAAGCAGATATCCTCCCAATTCTATCTTTGAAGAGACCTGAGTCTTAAAAGTACAAAGTGTTGCATCTTTGTAAATCATTGTATTACTATATTAAGTAATTCACACATTCTATGCATTTCTGTTTTCTGTCTTTCTATTGTTAACATTTCTATCCATATTTTTTTCATTCTGCCCTCTGTATTATTAACATACAAGAAGATCTTTTTAAAAATATAGAAAATAATATAATGTAAATTCTTCTAAACATAAATAACAGTAAGAATGAAAAATTAAAGCTTAAACACAGAAATTTGATGACACCCATCTCCATTAACAACTACAAGTAAATTACTACATGAGCACACAATATCTAAATATGGTTTACTTTTCTAATAACTACGCTACAATCAACGCATTAGCTAAGTAATTAATGAGCACACAATATCTGAATATGGTTTACTTTTCTAATAACTACATTCAGCACATTAAATAATTAATTTATGAACATGTTAGTTTTATGTGCAGTAATTGACAGTGATCATAAAATCAGAATAAAAACAGAAAAAGTACCAAAAGCAAAATATTTATGTTTCCAGTGTATATATTATAAATCTCTTCATATTTATGTATCTAAAATGTCCCACGTGGTTAATTATATAGACTCAATATTAAGTATTTAGCAGTACCTGTTTTTTAACCATGTAAAGTAGGGCTGCACAATTAATCGAATTTCTAATCGTGATTACAATTATGGATGCCACAATTACGTAATCGTTCAAAGCTAATTGTTCAAAGTCCACTTATGTTATTCTGTGTGTTTAAGATGCTTTTTTTTTTCTTTCTACATGTTATCTTAAGGGTTTTTCCATCGTTTTAGATTTAGTTTTAGTATAACATTATAATACCATTCATATTTTTACTTTTTTTACATAATTTAAAGAAGAAACCAATCCGATGTATAGTTGACATTTGAGGCTTAATACTATAGAAAAGCACTAAAGGTTTTTCAGTTAGAGTGTTTTCAGCTGGTTTATTTTCATATAAAAATACGGCATGCAGTTGCATCAAACAATGGTATAAACATTCAATGTAAATTGTGATCATCGTAATTAATAAATCGCAATTACAATTTCAAGGCAATAATCGACAATTCTGATTTTTGTCATAATCGTGCAGCCCTAATGTAAAGTAACTATAACAAATTTGATCTGCCAAAGGCACATTTCAGAGAAATAATGTTATAAATAAAATCGCAGCAGCAACACTTGATATCGGTTCGCATCCATTCCTCTCACCGATCACAACACATTCAGTAACAGCAGCATTATCACTCCACACTAGGGATGGGCGATATCTTATCGTTTGCGATATACCGGTAAAAATTCTCCCCACGATAAGAATTAGTCTTCCTGCGATAATAACGATAAAGTCTAGTTGTTGACATATTTCTGTGTGTGACAGGGCGACATCACGGAAAGCGGACGTGAAATTGAGGAGTAGCAGCCTATATCGCTAAATGAGGAGCTCGAGCTGTAACTGGTTTGGTTAGGGCTGTAGAGTGCACAAAAAATCGTTCTGAATAAATGTACTACAGTAGCACGTGTGCGATACAGTTTTGCATGTGTATGAGCCTGTTTACAAAACTGTTATCCAACAAAGATATAATTTATTGACATGCTTTTTCTCCAAATTAACTTAATAACATAGTCGAGTGTTTGAAATACTTCTTTTTGTGACCAGACGTGGTTTCATATTACAGAATGATAGTATTATATACAGTGATAAAGGCCATGTCGATTAACATTGCATTATAAATATACTTTCCTTATAAAAATACCCAAGATTGAAGAACACAGATAAACCATATATTTTGTGCAAGTCGTATGTTATTTTCCTCAAGTTTCATCAGTTAAAATGCCTCTGCCTCCGTTGTGCGTTTTATTCAGCGATAACTGGATACCTTCCTGAAGCATCGTCAGTATTTCTTCTGCTATGGATATGTGGAGTTTCTGTGCAAGAGCGCCCTCAGGCTTCCAGTATGAATTAAACAGTCTTTACATTACATGTGAACTCATTAACCTCTAAAGACCCCGCAAAACATTTTAGGAATGTTTTTTTTTTTGATGTCATTACATTGTTTAGAGCATTCAAAAAAATTTCAACAAAAAATAATGCATAGGCAAAAAAAATTTTTTATTTTTTTTTTAAATCACCAATACATTTTTAGTTTTTAGGATTTTTTTTTACCAAACGCAAACACGCACGCACACACAAGCACGCACACACAAACACAAACGCACGCACACGCAAACATACGCACGCACACACAAGCACACAAGCACTCACGCACGCGCGCGCTGAAAGAACTTAACATGTTTTCCTCACAGGCTTGTTATCTGCTGTTCAAAATGTTTAGGCCTATTTAAGTCAGCAAACACACAAACAGCGCTGTACCCGATGAAAACAAAACAACAACGGCCTCGTATATTGTTGCATAAACATACAGTGGAAATTCAGTGTTATATTATTAGTTTAAATAAACGAAAAACCGTGAACCGCTCACCTCTCCTCAGAAGACTGGTGTGAATGAGCGAGCGCTGGTGATGACGTCATCGCCGCGAGACGGGATCAGCGGCAAGTCATCAAAAAGCGCCAAATTCAAATTAAAGCGCCAAAACATCTATAAAACAACACATCAAACAAAAATGACTGAATCCTTAATTATTCATTGTATATAATAGGAAAAAGTGAGTCAGATAGCTGCAGTTACTGTGGAATAACAGAAACAGTTGAACATGTGCTTTTACATTGTGAGGCATATAATAGACAAAGAAAGCAACTTGTTGAAAAACTAAGAGATATGGAAATCAATGACATTTCAGTTATGAATATATTTCAGAATGCACAGAAACATCTAAGGGTTTATGATTTTCTTCTAAAATATCTGAGAGATACAGATTTGATTAGAAGAATTTAGTTTTTAAAAAAATTTTTTTTTTTTTTATTAGTAGTATATGATATATTCGTTCATCGAGGCCTCACACTCCATCCCAGTAGGTGGCGGAAATGCACCTTAAGCTGGTTTGCCAACCGCCATTAAACACAAAAGAAGAAGAAGAAGAATGACTGAATCAAACACCCCTAGCTTGTATCCAAGAGTTTATTTTTATTATCCACAAATCTTAAGACTATAAAATATTAATGTGGTTTCTAGATGCACTTTTTAGAAACTTTCTCTAATAGATGGCTAATAATATTACTTCTAAGGTAATTTACCATCAAGTCAGATTTTTTTACTGGCTAATTTATAAAAAAAAAAAAAAGATATAGATATAAAATATTTTATGCGTGGCAAAAAAAAGTGTATAGCATATAATGTTATAATATAAACTGATTGTTTTTCTACAGTTGTAAACCAGAAAGGCAGTTTTAAATCACTAAATTATAGAGAATAATAATAAAACAAGCAATGTATATAAGATCTCAACACACATAGACTCCTCTAAAACATTAACTGACATTTATTTTCCCTGTAAATGCTGCTCCTTATTAGGGTCGGTCCCATTCCATACTCTTTTTATAAAAATAATTTATTCAATTTAATTACTCATAAAAAATGCATATTTTAGTCTAAAATGTTGGCCCCCATTTCTCTGCTGCAATACAAACACTACTGTAAGTGACATTACTGACAGCACACAATTGACAATGCAATTATCACTCGCCATAGTGGTCCGGCCAGCATTTGGCACAACTGGCATGTGTTAATTTTGTGCCCTGGTTTGTATTTTGGGAACACAGTCATCTGTCTCGGCTCTGCTTCTTCATTTTCTCTTTATTGTTAGACATTGCGAAGGGCTGGGCGATATGGCCAAAAATATAATCACGATTTCTTTTTTTCCATATCATATAATATCTGATGTATTCAAATAATCAGTGTTGTTTCTATCGCAATATATAGTTACTGTGAATTCCTTTAGCAATGATAACTGTGGTGTGAAACATCTGATGTGGTGACATCAAACAGCAGTCTCATGTTTGCCAGACATTACTGTAACCTTCAGTTTGACCGTCAGACGAGACCAAAATAAAGGGTGAACAAACCCTTTAATTAAGTAAACAAGGTGGATTTACAGATTTACCTATGGTGGATTTACAGAAACTCCTGTTTGAAAGAGTTTGTTTTGCTGTTAATATGTAGCTCATTTTCTGCTTATTATTGAACTTGTTATCTGTCAGACAACATGCAAAGGCTGCATTTCCCAAAAGCATCGTGAAGTTGATCGGGAAGACCATTGCGATCAATTAAGCCCAGAGCAATGGTCATGCATATGTTTTAAGAGGCACGTCGCCAAACCAATCGAAAGGGCACGAGATCACTGTGATAAATATATTATGGGCACAGAGTATAATTTGTAAAAATAAATAAATAAATAAAAATAAAAAAGGGGTCATGAATGTGAATTGCATGACTACAGTTGAAATAAAATGATTAATATCAAATGCACTGTAAAGAATTCGCAGTAAGGTAAAACCACAGAAAATAAGAGTTTTAAAGTAATTCAGATTTGAACTGAACGATTAACAGGGCGACAGGCATTAGTAAAAACTGTAAAGCATTTTGTTGCGGGTCTAACTTCTCAGATCAGATTTGATCATCATCTATCCTGACAAATGACAGGCATTAAACTGTAAAGCATTTTGTTGCGGGTCTAACTTCTCAGATCAGATTTGATCATCATCTATCCTGACAAAACTACTACATTTTCATTTTATTATTATCATATTTTTCATAGTCCAGAAAAAAACATCACAGATTTGAGTAGACTGTCTGCATTGATGAAAAGAAAATATGTAACACGTGTAAAAATTACAATCAGTATTGGTGAAAGAGAGGCGAGAGCAAGGTGATGCACTAATTTCAATCCCGTCTAATATGGAGAACGGCATTCAGTCCTTGTTAATGTCTGCTAATCAGAGAGCTGTCTTGGCCATTAACAGTGACAGTAAAAAACTGGAACTGTATTCATCTTGTCGTTCAAGCTGCTGTCATCAAAATATTACTGTATTTTACAGTTAAATGAAAGCGATTGTTCACGCAGGTGTTTTGACCATCAAACCCAGTCCGGTAACGCCGGTCAGACTGGAGCTGCGTGAGTTTAAATCTGAAGACAGCAAAGGCTTTTTATTGCAACAAGCTGCTTATATAGGTGAGGTCTGCCACTAGCCAATCATTTTAACACTCATAGATAGAAAAAAACATTCCTCTATCATGTATTCCACAATTTATTTATGTGTAGTTGAATTGTAGTTAAAGGTTATATTTTTATAGTGCCAATATTTACACGATCACACATGTTTTTTTATGCTATTTGATTTACACATGAAGTGTGCAGCTCAAAAGTCTTAGTCAAACATGAGTCTGGATGGTAAAATAAAATAAAATAAAAGATCACTTGATTGCTACTCTATGGTTTGACTATTGACTAGATATTTTACAGCAGTTTCACTTCTGCTATTCAGTTTCTGTTTTATTCGTTTTTGGTACCTACAAGTTGTACCTACAAAAATTGAGGATGTACACCTTGATTTCTCCTAGTTATCTTGCTATGGTGCAGTGCTTTAGAACAAAAGTAGTGCTGTATATATATATATATATATATACAGTGGGTACGGAAAGTATTCAGACCCCCTTAAATTTTTCACTCTTTGTTATATTGCAGCCATTTGCTAAAATCATTTAAGTTAATTTTTTTTCCTCATTAATGTACACACAGCACCCCATATTGACAGAAAAACACAGAATTGTTGACATCTTTGCAGATTTATTAAAAAAGAAAAACTCAAATATCACATGGTCCTAAGTATTCACACCCTTTGCTGTGACACTCATATATTTAACTCAGGTGCTGTCCATTTCTTCTGATCATCCTTCAGATGGTTCTACACCTTCATTTGAGTCAAGCTGTGTTTGATTATACTGATTGGACTTGATTAGGAAAGCCACACACCTGTCTATATAAAAGCTTGGAGTCTTTAAGCCTTTAAAAAGGTTTTTGAAAGAACTCTCTCCATTTATTTGATCAAAAATAGAGCAATATTCAGTAATATTATAAAATATTATTATCATTTAAAATAGTTGTTTTCTATGTGAATATATTGTAAAAAATGTATTCCTGTGATCAAATCTTCAGAAATCATTCTAATATGCTGATTCGCTGCTCAAGAAACATTTCTGATTATTATCAGTGTTGAAAACAGTAGTGCTGCCCAATATTTTTTGTGTACATTAATACATTTGAGTACATTAATGTTTATTCAGCGAGGATGCATTAAGTTGATAAAAAGTGACAGTACATACTTTTATAATGTTACAAAATATTTTTAAACTTTTAAACCTTTTTTAAACTTGTAAAATTTGTATTCATCAAAGAATCTTGAAAAAAAAATGTTTCAGGCATTACACAAAAACATTAAGACAGTATGAAGAGAGAGAGAGACAGTGAGAGAAAATTCCCCTAAACAGTTCCTTCTTTTGTGTTTTGGCTTGCTACATGATTCAAATGGATGCATGTAAATATCAACATGATTTTCTCCACACTGTAAAAAAATTGTTTAAAAAAAACGATTGAATGACAGCTACCAAACAAAAGATGTAAAATCAAAGTAAAATACCCCAATTAAAAAGATTATTCGATAATATCCTGACCATAGATCATTATTATGATCAAAATCCATCAATAAAGTGACGGCTGGTACTTCACAATTCCCCCCC